AGCCGTCTCTGCTATATATTTTTACTTCAAGTCGGTTTCTCGTCATCATTAATCCAAATGATTTTGCAAACCTTTTTTTTTTTGTTTAAGACTAGAATCTTTCCTGTAACAGAAGCAATATACAGTAGCTAGTCTAAATGTATAATTACCAGAGTAACTCCTAGTCCTCCAGTCCTCTGGTGTGTATCCAGTCTATTAACTTAACCTACCAAAAATGAAAGTGAGAGGTTCTCATATTTGATTTTGACCTCATTTACAACCCTGGGTAGCACATTGTTTGGTCTAAGAATCTTAAATATTTTATTTAATTTTAATAGTTCAATAAAGTGCAGGATAGTCATTTACTTTATCTTTTGTTTTTTAATTTAATCAATTTTTGATTTGTGAACTTTCATTGATTTCACAGCCTTTCCTTTTGGTATTGAAGATTTTGATGTTGGAGATATTTACTAAGATATTCATACATATGCCTGTTTTTAGTCAGTGCTGTACCAAGTTGGATGTGTATTGGTGCTTAAGTCCTAAAACTGTAGACAACTACTTGTCCTGATATTGTTAAATATCCCTTACTGATTCAGTGAAAGCTTGTCCTTCATGAGCCGCTGATAAATTTATGAAAATATTTTAACTTATTATGGAGATTCATGCCAAATACTAGGCAAACTTCTGATTCAAACATTTAGATAAGTGGTTTGATTTACCAGCTACTCAGTTCAGATGGCCCTGGTGATGGCTTGCATATAGGACTCATGACTCACACAAGAGCCCTAGGATTAATGCTGTAGTGTACATTGTAGTATACTGTACTTTAATTAGTAGGATTAAAATAGTTTAATTTGTATATTTATAGCTATATGAATTTAACATTTAAAGATTAATTGGTTGATTGAAAGTAACTGTGGATGGAAAGACTTGTTATGTGTTGATATAACTGCCAACTAGTACTGTAATTGACACACAGTTTCTAATCATTAAGTTATTATAGAACAACAAGGGCATTCATTTAGTTAGTTTCCATGTGATCATTTTGTAATCAGTCTTTAAAATGTCTCAAAGTACCTCACACATTGGTTTTGTTGTACAGTTTCTGTTGCCTAATGATTAGTATTATAGAGTCTACTGTTGATTATCTCAGAATCATTATGTGGGCCTAATTTTGCTTCATACTGTTACTGGTTTGTTGGAAATGCATTAACAACTAATATTGAAATCTACAGCTTTGAAATAAAGTTTGACTGAATTTGGCTTTCATTGAGAACACACGATTACTCGTCCAAGCTAACCATCTAGTAAGCACCTAGATCCTGAAGGTATTCCCACATCATAAGTTTTGGTTAGATGCACTTTCATCAAGTTAACTATCTTTCTCTTAAGCTAAGAAAGCAGATAAGCTATCTGTCTAACTTTAAGTTTGAACTTGTTGGGACTTTTCTCCTAAAGGAGTCTTTTAAAACTTGTTCTAGGTTATTTGTGTCTTGCATTGTATAAATAGAGATCATGTAATTTAAGGCTTAAGAATTATTTCTTTATATTACATATTTTCCAAACTTTGATAAACATCCCATCAAATTAAAATAACACAAACATAATAAAAAGAAAATTATCTTTCATAAAAACCTACTAGATGATCCACATTTTACATGATACAGGAGATTAGTTGCAGAATTTTCTTGTGTCTGGTTTATTCATTTTGTGTTTGTCAAGAATACCACAGTAGTAATTGCCTTAATGGGCTGTTAAAGAGTTCAGGTCTACATCAGATGACACATCCTGACTATTACAGTGTATGTGTAATACAATGCTGAAGCATTTGTAAATCTTTTCCAGGCCTGACTTGGTTGATGGTCTACAGAACTGAAAAGTATCAAAAACTAAAAGCTGAAGTTGAACGCCAAAGTAAACGATGTGAGTATTTTTTAACTTTAGTCACTAGTCAGTTAATTCATTTGTTCAGTTTAATTAAATGTGATGTAATTATTTTTAAGTTCATTTTATTTTTTGCAAGAAAACTGACATAGGATATTTGCAAAGGTTTTTCATTGTACAAAACTTGAAAATAGCTTTGATATATGGAAACATCTGTTAGCTGAGTTCTTGCACAGATCTTAAAATATAACGTTCGTAAATGGAAACATCGGCTCATGTAGATAAGTCGAGTTGTTCAAAACTTGAAAATAGCTTTGATATACGGAAACATCTGTTAGCTGAGTTCTTGCACAGATCTTAAAATATAACGTTCGTAAATGGAAACATCGGCTCATGTAGATAAGTCGAGTTGTTCAAAACTTGAAAATAGCTTTGATATACGGAAACATC